ACATCTCTTGACTGGTCTTGACGGGTAAGTAACCTCTTGTCTTTTAAGCAATATCCACTCAAGAAAACAGCCTCCCCCTTCCCTCCTGCACAACTCAGGGAGAAGCTAAACGTGAATGATGGGTACGGTCCCTGACCTCCTAGTGCTCAGAATCCACTGGAGATTAGGGCATTACAACACAGTGGGGAGCCTGTGGTCGGGACAGGAAGGCCGAGCCACGGGCACCCTCAGAAGGAGCAGTGAACTGTGGCAATGAGTTAGCCAGGGAAGAGGGGGAGAAAGAAAGTTCTAGGTGGATGGCACAGGTGTCAAAGCTGAGAGGCACAAAGGAAGCTGACACAGTCAAGGGGCTGAAGGAAGTTCAGAGTACTTTGCATCTAGAGCACGAGGGGCGAATGGGGAGATACAAGGCTGGAAAGTTCTGTGGGAGGTGCTGGGTGACAGCTATAGGCTCAACCCCAGTACAAGGACACGCTGTGTTTTCCTCAAACACCTCATTCATGATGCCAGGCCTTTGTTTAGAAACCTACTGTGGTTACCCCCAAGCTTCTCCTACGGCTTGGTGCTGGGCCAGGGCTCGTAATTCATAGCTGGGTTTCTTAAGCTCCAATTGATCAGTTTGGATGGGAAATGGTTGCACTTGTTTCCAGTGAGCTCTTGTTTGAAATTTTGCGTCTTCTGTAAGCGCGACTGTAGATCCGAGAGCCCAGCAATATGAGCAGTAACAGAGCGTCTGTGTTACACGTTATACTCACCAGACCTGCTGCTAGACCTCGCTAACAGGATAACAAAGAAGCAATTTTTATTCAAACAAAAATCTGGAATTTTAATTTTGATTATTGTATTTAAATATTTTCATTTCCTGGGGCGCCTGGTGGGGCTCAGTCGATTAAATGTCTGCCTCCAGCTCTGGTCATGATACCAGGGTCCAGGGATGGAGTCCTGCATCAGGCTCCGTGCTCAGCGGGGAGCCCGCTTTCCTCCCTCCCTCTGCTGTTCCCCCTGCTTGTGCTCTCTCGCTCTCGCTCAAATAAATAAACAAAATCTTAAAAAAAATATTTTCATTTCCTTTGTATCCCTACATATTTTATGAATCGGAATAAACATCATCCCGAGTCGGGGGCTGTGGGTCTTGCCAAGCTGCCAAGGGGATGCTTGGGAGAAAAAAAGGTTCAGAACCTCTGCTTAATAGAAACATGTGTCTCCCCAAATTGATGCCTGAGTTTGGGTGTACTGAGCCATCTCCCTGGTGCAAGTGCATCTCTTCCACCTCCTGGTGCCCTCAGGGTGCTCTGGGACACTTGTCCCCGGAGGAACCAGCGATGTCAACTGCAGGCAGGGCATCAGATAAGGGAATGTCCTTCAGATAAGGGGACAGAATCCATCAGTTGTAGGTCTAGTTCAACTAGTGAGCTGAGACGGGGACAAATCCTCACCTCCCTCCCCCGAGAAAAATGGCTTGGGCCACCTCAGTTTACTGAGATTTGTCCCATCAACCTAGCCACAGCCAGCTGGACTGGGGGCACCCGGGAAGACGCCAGGCAGGACAGCTGTCCAGGTCATTGGATTCTGTCTCTTGGGATTTGGAATTTGAAGATACAAGAGAGTCAGCAGTTGGAAGGGCCCAGAGAAGTGACAGACACCAAGACAGAAGTGAGGATGAGAGGGAGGGAAGTGAAGTCCAAGTGGGAATTTGCCAGGTTAGGGCAGCTTTCCTCCCCACTCTCCCAGAGGAGGTCTGGCCGTGTGCCTGTGTCACTTTGTGGAGATCAGTTTCTTACCACTTGGAAAAGCTCAAGAACTATGGTGTGCCAGGAGTCCCTGGATGCACAAGGTTCATCCAAGAGCATGGCTCCTGGCATGCCAGAGACCCCAAATCAGGAAGTGGGTGGTTTTCCTCCTCAGTCTCCCTAATCCTGTGCAAACTCCTTCTGGCTCAGGAGGCTCCCATCCCTCGTGCCCAGTGCCAGGGCCCTGTTAACTTCTTCCTCCTTGAGGGTCCCTTTCCAAGAGTTCCCTATCTGCTTGACTGCTCACAAAGCAGCTAGAGCTGGTACTGCCCTGGGGGATTGGGATGGGGGTTGGGAGTGCATGGCAGGCAGGCAGGCAGGCAGGCAGGAACGGGGAGGGAGGGGCAGAGGAGGTCTGCCCCTCCGCATCCCATCCCAGATCCTAGAGTGGCAGTGTACAGCAGACTTCTCTGTTCTGGCTCCCTTGGTTTCCCTTGTCTGGGCTCCTTCTCTCCCTCTATTGTCTGCAACACTCCCTCTCTAGAATTCCTCGTGGATCAAACCTAGTCCGCTCTCCTTGCCCAGAAACAGATGCAGCTACATCCCAACAACGTTTTAGAGATGAGGACATAAGGACCAGAGAAGTCTGAGGCTGGCAGTAAGAAGGGAACGGCCCAACCTCTTCAGGATGCTCTGTAAAAACCCTGCACAAAACCATCTCTCCAGCAGCACCGCTCACGGGTCCCACCGGACCCCCACAGCACCCTTGCCCAGCCGATACACTTGCATTTCCCAAAACACCACCATTCTGGATGTTCTCCCGCCTAACAGACTTCTAGGATGTCCTGGTGAGTTTTGGGCCAAACTTTACAACTCAAAGTGTACTCATCCGTTCCCGGTGAGGCAGGGGTCCTGACCTAATTGCCCTTGCACCCCCAGCTTTGGTATGGGGCCGAAAATTTGGTGTCCCCTGGCCTCAGTGTCCTGAAATTATTAGGGTCCATAAGTAGAGTCAGCACTTGGAACCCCATGGGTGGGGTTTATTCAATCGTTCAACAATACATAATGGGTCTGTTATGTCCCGAATATGGCCGGGTACCGGGGATCAAACATGAATGGAGAAATGAGCTGGGAGGATGTAACCGAGCCGAAACTTGAAGAAATTCTAAAAATCTATGAAAGAGCAACAACAGAGGGTTTAATCCGTATTTTCCTCCAGGTGCGTGTGGGGGCGGCCCCCCTCGCCACCCTCAGCCCCCGCTGCGTTCTCAAGGCAAGATTTGAGGCGGATTAAAAACCTAATCCCTGGGTTGGGTCTGACCTGAAGGAAGGCGAGAGGCCTGAATCCTAACCCGGCCCCACACCTGGACCCAGCGTTCCCCGAACTCCCCGCATCCGGGAATTAGCGGTCTGGTTTGCAGCTGGCTGCCATCAAGACGCCCCAAGGGGGAGCTGCGAGACCCTCAAAGGATTCTCCCCGGACTCGGGAGACCCCACCTGGACCCCACCTCGCGCGAGCAAGGGCTCCCAAGGAGGGTCTCAGAAGTCTGAGAGGGTCAGTCTCAGAAGATACGACCCCTTTAAAGAGAAAAGACTGGGGGGCGCGACCCAGCGAGCACGACGGCGTCACAAACCCTACGCTCGAGGTCCGAGCTCCCAGCCGACCCCCAGGTCCCTCCCCGCGCCCCCGGGAGAGCCAGGCTTCCGGGCACCGCCCCGCTGGTCCCCGCCCCCACGGCGCAGGCGCCGATTGGCCAGCGCGGCCGCAGGGCGGGGCCCATCCTTAAAGGGGCGGGAGCTAAGGGGGACCGGAGGCAGTGCCGGTGATGCCGCGTGGCCGCGCGTGGACTTCTTCTACATCTCTCTAATGCCCGCCCCTGGTCCCAAGCCCATGGAGCCCGCGCGAGACTACCCGCTGTTCGGGGGCGCCTTCTCCGCCGCTCTCCCTCCCGGGGCCCTTGACGTGAGGTGAGAAGACGTGGGCGCCGCGGGCCGGCCGGCTGGGATGCCGGCAGAGGCGGGCGGGGCTCAGCCGGGGTCCGCCTTGCCTCCCTCCAGCGACCTCCGACCGGTCCCGGACAACCAGGAAGTTTTCTGCCACCGCGTGACGGACCAGAGCCTGATCGTGGAACTTCTGGAGCTGCAGGCCCACGTGCAGGGAGAGGAGGCTGCGCGGTGAGGGAGGCGGTGGCCCGCGCGGCGGGCCAATGGGAGGGCCGGAGCCGAGGAGGTGGGCGGGGCCTGCGGCTGCACGGTTAATCAGGGCAATGAGAACCCCAAGGGCATCACCTTATCACCGGAAGTGAGCGGAGCTCTAGGGACTCAAAGATGCTGGGGGGAGAGGGGAGTTAGGGGGGTGTGAGACGGCCCTCCCTGACCCTAATCCCCGTACTCTAGGTACCACTTTGAGGACGTGGGCGGGGTGCAGGGGGCTAGGGCTGTGCAGGTGGACAATGCGCAGCCCCTCCTTTTGGAGAACCTGGCTCTGAGGAACTGCTGTCAAGAAGCCTGGGTCCTGTCTGGCAAGCAGCAGGTAGCTAAAGAAAACCACCAGGTGAGGGCAGGGGAGTGTGAGATTCCCAGACGGGTGAAGGGAGTGGCCCTGGGCAGGGATGGTCAGGTAAGCATCTCCACTCTGATCCCTTTAGGTAGCAAAGGATGTGACAGTGCACCAGGCTTTGCTGCGGCTGCCCCAGTACCAGACTGATCTTCTGCTCACCTTCAATGATCCCCCGTAAGGAGGACAGGAAGGATGCATGGCTCATGACTGGGTCCCCAGGAGGATATTCTGGGAGGGGCAGAGCCGGGAGACTGGCTGGTGGGGTCCTCCAAGTAAGAGGGAGAGGGCCAGAGGTTTGGGGTCACAGATACCCAGGTCCTCCGGGGCACAGGAAGTGGGAACTTCCCCACCCACGGCCTGGATGATGTTCTCTCTCCCTCTGTTCCCCCACCCCCAAGCCCTGACCATAGGTTATCTCTTGGTCCTGAAAATCTGTCACTTCCGCCCTGGAGCCTGGGTGACTTTGAACAGCTGGTGACCAGTCTGACCCTTCACGACCCCAACATCTTTGGTCCCCAGTAAAGATGCTGAAACACTGCGTGAAGTTGCTCTAGCACACGGGGACCTCATTCTACAAGGGAAACAAGGGGTTGGATATATACCCCTAATTCCTTCCCTGTGCATAAACATGAGACACCTCCTGTCTGCAGAAATAAACTCGCTTTATAATCAAGATAAGATCTCTGTGCCTTTGCATCTAACAAGACACCTAGGTCCCCTCAGTTCCCTTTGGTCTTGGAGTGGGGAGTTAAAGAAGTTTGTGCATAGGATCAGAAGGGACCCAAGGCCGTCCAAACAAAAGGAGGGAAAACTTTGGAGTGACTGGTTCAGCCCTGAGGAAGGGGGGAGGGTGTGACATGTCCAGGAGGAGGGGGAGGGAAGGTTTAAAGGGACACCCGAGGAAAGGAGGGAGACTGTCCCTTGTAGTGATTCAACCCTGAGAAAATCAGACGGGGAGTGGAGTTGGCTGTCCCCCTTGGAGGGATGAAGGGTCACCTGGTCAGAAGTTGCCAGGACACAGGAGTGGAGGCAGAAGTGTCCAAGGAGTGCTGATTTGGTTGTGTGTGCAAGAGTGCCTGGTGTCATTTGGTGTATGTGTTGTAGAGGGTGCGTAACTGGTCCCAGAAGAAGAGGGAAAGGATAGTGTGGGGGCCAAGGCGGAAGTAGGAGGCACCTATACCCTTGTACATGCCAAAGACGCCCTCTGTCCGAGCGGTCTGTAGAAGGGCATCCAGTATCCCCCGGTACATCAGGCCCTGAGAGCAGGTTTAGAGGGGGGAAGAGCACAGGGAAGGCGTTTGTCAGAGCCCGCCAGGGGCCTCCTCTCAGCAGGCTGCATTCTAGGCTGTCCCCACCAGCACCCACCATTCGCTTTTACCCACCACCTGCCGTGGCCTGCCTGGCTGGCCGGCCGGCCCTCCAAAACATTCCCTTACCTTGCCCCGGGCATCAGTGGGCTGGTTGTAGAGCCTCGTGCTGACCACATCAAAGGGTGTCATGGCCAGGACCACTGCGATGCCACTCACCATGGCAGCCACCAGAGCCACCTTCCAGCTCTGGGGCGGAAATATCTAAGGGTGAAGGGGGGAGAGGTGCATCAGCTCATCCCTGGACCCCTCGGAAAGGACAGGCCCTGCCCTGGGGAGAGAGTAGAGAGAGGGTAACTCAGGGAGTTTCCATGCGGCCGGTTAGAAGACCATGGAGGAAGGGCAGGATGCTGGAGGACTCAGAGCCACCATCTGGGAGGGAGTGACAAGAGGACCATGGGGAGGGTGTAAAGTCAGTGACCCAAGGCTTCCTGCCGTTCCTTGATGTTGACCATGAGCACGGTCCCCTCTGGGGTCCCCTTCAGCGTGTCCACCCCTTGCCCAAAGTCCAAGGGAGGCCCCGCCCTCTTCCCCCCCAGGGTAGTACCTCCCACTGAGTGATGAGGTCCTTGGTGGACGAGAAGGTGCACAGCTGGGTGGAGGAACCGATGATAACTCGGGGCAGGCCGCCCAGGGCCCCGCGCCACAACCCCACCAGCCCATGTTTCTGGCCAATCTCGCTTAGCGCCTGAAACATGCCCTGGTGGGGGGAAGACCGTGGGGGCGGGCTTCAGTCCCCCCAGCATCAGGGGCCGCCACCTCACACTGTCAACGATGGGTCCTCCACGGGCACCCGGAGTCTGGACAACCAGTACCGTGTGGACTTAGAATTGGAATGGGTCTACTACCCGCCATTGTTCCCTTCCTCCCTGCTCCAGAAGAGGGGCAGGGTGGGGGGGGGATGGTGGGGCTGGGTTGGAGTTGTAGGGGGCAGGCAGGGAGCTGGGGAGGGGAGGCAGTGCGGGGGATGGGAAAGAACGGGCAGGGACTCCAGCAGGGTTGGAGAACCCTCACCTGATGCTTATACTGGTGACCCACAGCGATTTCTGAGGCCGCCTGTGCCTGTAGGTGTGTCTTCACCTGGGAACAAAAGAATATCACAGCCTGTGGCCCAGGGGCCAGCCTCCCACATCAAAGACCCAAAGGCCTGACCCCATAATACTTCCGCTAGGGTGTTCAGCAAGGAATATCCTTTTAATCTGATAATTATTGTTGTTCCCATTAACACACTGGTCATGAGACTCTGTGTCCCTTGGCTCCAGTCCCAGGGGATGGATCTCCTAGCACTGCGAGACACCCCCACCCCCTCTCCATCCTCCTTCCCTTGGGGGTTGGGTGGGGGATGGAGAGGTTAGAGAATGGCAACATTTCCTAAGATTGTTCCCTTTGGGCAACTCTCGGTGTCTGGCCTCTCACGTTGGCTCCTAGTCCCCGACTGGATCTCCAGCCACCCCCGTGACCAGGCTCCGCCATCTGACCCTCGGGCATGTTGCAAGGGGTATCTGTCAACCACGCCCCGGGGAGGCATGTGGAGGCTGACTCTGGGGGTCACTGTCCCTGAATGTCCCACACAGGGAGTGAGACCACACTGCCTTACAGAACTGCCTACCTCCCAGTTTCTTCCAGGAGGAGCACTAAACAGGACCTACTCCTAGCAACAAGTAGCTGTGTGACTTTAAGCTGGTCACTTCCTGTCTCTGGCCCTCAGGCTATTGACCCTTCACCTATTCCAGAAGACTCAAAGGAGGAGACTGTGGGATTCTAATTTTGTGGGGCCCAGACTTTCCCTGAACCCTACACCCACTGATGTACGTGACTTGAATTCCTCATCCACTACAACACAAACCCGCTCCCAATCTCAGGATCAGGTCCTGAAGGCCCAGACCCCGCCCTACACCATGGTCTGCTGGAAGGCCCCAGGCAAGACCCTTCCTCTCACCATGTAGATGGGGCTCCCCAAGTAGGCTCCCATGACCCCAGCCAGGGCCCCAGCTGCGGCGCTGCGGGGACGGCTGAGGGCGCCTTCCGCCGTGTGCAGGTAGCCCCCAGCCTCAGCCAGCCCGTAGGTGCCCAAGCGGATGCCATTCATCAGGAACTGATATAAGAGAGCAGGGGCCAGTCCCTTCTGCAGCGCAGCCGGGCCATCCACCTTGCCAATGGTGATGAAGGCATGGAAGACGTTTCGGTAGTGCCGCTGGTAGGTGCCGGGGGCCCGCAGTTCCCCCTGCAACTGCATCCTGGTCTTTACCACTTCCAGGGGGTTGGTGAACAAGCAGGCCCCGCAGGCCGCCAGGCCACTCATCAAGAAGTCCATGGTGGGGTAGCAGTAACAGAAGTGGCCCAGGAGTAAGAAAGTGAAAAACAAGCTTCAGAAACGGGAGGGTGGGGTGGGAGGGTGGGGGGTGGGCAGAACTCAGGGGCAGGCCTCCGTGTCAGCAGTCCTCACCGCTGCAGGAGATAGCCATTGAGAAGGTCAGGGTCAGAGGTCAAGAGGTCAAGGGTTGCTGGAATTTGGAGTGGGGAGCTGGCAGAGAGAGGAGGAAAAGGAGTTTAGGAGAGTCTGCCGAGGTTATGACGGGGCTCCGTGGGTCACGGGACCTGAGGTCAAGGAAAGGCAAGAAGCCAGGAGGATGGCAGGTGGATGCCGGGGATGCTCGGCTCCGGGGGGCCCTGGAGCAGGAGAGGGCAGCGCGGATTCGGGAGGTGGGAGCCAGGAGGAAGGAAAAAGGAAAGCAGCAGGTTACGGAGGAAGAGGATCCGGGAGAAGATCGGCGGCGTCTGTATCAGGGAAGGAAGTCGGAACTCCGGCCCAGGAGCAGCGTCCCCAGGCAGCTGCCCCGCGAAACCGCAGCAGCTAGCTCGACCCCGCGCAGCCTGCGGAGGCCGGACCGCCACACTCCAGCCACCCGAGGGCGGCGCCCAATCGGGAGCCGAGGCTAGCCGGGGCCCGCAGCGTCAGCCAATCAGCGCCGAGCCGGCTCCTCGGCCAATGGGAGGTGCTCTCCGCGACCCGGCCCCCGGACTCCGCGGGGCGGGGGCGGTTGAGATTAACCCTCCGCTCGCCGGCGCCGGCGCCGCAGACTCGGGGCTCGCGCCCCGGGAGCGGAGCTCGTATCTCTCGCCGGGAGGGGAGCTTGGGCGCGGGGTTGCAGGGCGGGCGCGGAGGCCGAGCGCGGAGGCAGCCGCTCCCTACGGGGTCGGGAAGGGAGCTGGGATGGCGTGGCTCCTGGGGCGGGCGGAGGGCGCCAGTCCCTTCACCTCCAGCCCGGGTTCGCGGCGGACGGGGACTGCCAAACCGCAAATCCGCTCCCCCGCGGGCTCTGGCGCTTGCTGGACCTGACGGATCTCCCGAGGCTGAGGGCGGGATTCGTAGGTCCCAGCGCCGGGGTGTGGCTGGCTGCGGGCCCCGAAGGACGGCGTGGGAGTTCAGCCGCCGCCCCGAGCTCTTGATCCTCGCCGCAATCCGGAAGGGCGGGCGGGGAGAGGCAGGGGGGTGGATCCCAGGGCTTAGCTTTCCACGGTCAGCTAGTGGTGGGAGAGCGCCTGGGTCTTTGCTCATCAGTCTGCTAACGGTTAATCACTGGAGACCTGAGAAAAGAGACTGGGGAAGCTAGCAACCTCGGGAAGGGGTTGAAGGAGAAAGAAGGTTTGGAGAAAGAAAGCAGGATGGGGGATGTCAGCTGGGGCGGGTGCGGGGGGTGGGGAGGAGGAGGAGACAGGCTGCCTGCCTGCGTGTGAGGCAGCCTCCAGATTTAGACTCACAGCGGCTTTGGAGCTCCGGTGTGTAACTCGCTTACCAGCAGGATGACCTTAGGGAAGTTACTTAACATTTCAGGGCTTCCTTTGGCAATGGGAATGCTAATTATTTATTGCACTTACCTGAGCGAAAAGTGTTGGGCTCCTACCAAGTGTCCAGTTATCAGGGTTCCAGAAAAGTCAAGAGCTGCCGAACCCTGTGCCCTCCTGGATCCTGTTCTCACTGCTGGGAATGCCCTTCCCCCTTCTTTTGGTGATTCCCAAATCATTCCTCACCTTGAGCTTTATCTCTCCTGACCCTTGAAGGTTTCTAAGGTTTTCCTTGTTGCTTTGCTCCTCAAGCAGTAAATTAGCAATTGTTTACTCTCTGGCTCCTTTCACTACCCTGGGAGTTCTTGGAGGCCCCACCGGGAGTGTGTCTGAGCCATCTCTCTGTCGCCCTCCTCCTTCTGCCATCTCATTGAGCCTTAGGGAGGCAGGAGGGCTGGAGGGCAAAGTAGAGCAGACAGTGGGTTTCTCCCCCAGGGTTCTCAAGACGCGCTCTGAAAGAGTACCCTGAAAATTTCCAGTGGATGCTCCCAGATTTCTCCACCTGGTGGATGGGATGAGAATTAATCAGTATTTTAATCATTTTAATCCTAGAGTTTACACCAGTTCTCAAAGTGGGGTCCCTGGAGCAGTACCAGCAGCACCGGGGTGGGGGGGGGAGAAATGCAAATTGTCTAGTCCTGCCCCAGACTTCCTTCATCAGGAGGTAAACAGGAGGTGAAAGATAGACTGAAAAAACCCTCCAGGTTATTATGGTGTGTGCATAGGTTTTGGAATCATTGGAAGAGCACAAGTGGTGGGGAGAGGGGGAAGCAGACTCCTCACTGACCTGGTAGCCCTATGCAAGGCTCCATCCCAGGATCCTGGGATCTTGAGTAGAAATCAAGGGTCAGCCACTTAATGGATGGAGTTACCTAGGTGCCCCTGGCTTAAGCCATTTATCTTTAATATCTAGATGCCCTAGAAATAGACTACTTTTAAAACATGATTTTATTTTATTTTTTTAAAGATTTTTTTATTTATTTGACAGAGAAGCAGTCAGAGAGAGAGGAGGAAGCAGGCTCCCCGCTGAGCAGAGAGCCTGATGTGGGGCTCGATCCCAGGACACTGGGATCATGACCGGAGCCAAAGGCAGAGGCTTTAACCCACTGAGCCACAGGCGCCCCTAAAAACATGATTTTAAAGATTTATTTATTTGGGGGGAGGGATCAAGTCTGAGATCATGACCTGAGCCAAAACCAAAAGTCAGACTGTAGCCGACTCAGGCCACCCAGGCGCCTACCCCGTTCTTTGAAAGAAAGTGACTATGCTCGGCCCACACTTAGGAGTGGACCATTAGACTCTGCCTCCCTGAGGGAGAAGTATCTGCACAACTTACTTGGAATTCTTTTTCTTTTCCTTTTTTTAAAGATTTTTTAAATTTATTTGACAGAGAGAGAGAGAGATCACAAGTAGGCAGAGCGGCAGGTGGTGGGTGGTGGTGGGGAGCAGGCCAGAGGGGCTCAATCCCAGGACCCTGAGATCAAGACCAGAGCTGAAGGCAGAGGTGTAACCCATTGAACCACCCAGGCACCCCCTTATTTGGAATTCTTCATGGGAAGTTTGTCGCCCTCATTTATTTGTTTATTCACCTGTGGATTTCTATCAGTATGGACTGAACGGATTTTTATTTTCTACTTTGGGTTGTAATTTGGTATACTTTATTTTGTTGCCCCAAGTGTTCCAACTTTAGCCCTGGGAGCTCTTTTACTTGCTTTCTGTATTTCTTTGACACATTGCCATCAGAAAAAAAAAATTTTAATTAAAACATTTTTGTGTGGGGCACCTGGGTGGCTCAGTGGGTTAAGCCACTGCCTTCGGTTCAGGTCACGATCTCAAGGTCATGGGATCGAGTCCCGCATCGGGCTCTCTGCTCAGCGGGGAGCCTGCTTCCCTCTCTCTCTGCCTACCTCTCCATCTACTTGTGATCTCTCTCTGTCAAATAAATAAACAGAATCTTAAAAAAAAAAAACATTTTTGTGAAGCATTTCTCTATTTTCTGACCCAATATGATGCTCCTGGCTGTCTTGTATATTCCCTGTCCCAGTGCTAGAATCAGCCATTTCTCCAAGAAGCTCTAGTTCCTTCTATTGGAGAATGTATCAAAAACCAATGTCTGGGCCCCACCCTGGTTGTAGAGATTGCTTTAAACACATGTCTAAAAAGGAAAGAAAGGAAAAGACCAAAATCTGGGCACTGAATGTGCTTGTTGCCATTGGGGTATCCTGGGAGAGCAAGTAAATGTTAGTGTAGAGTAAGCCTTGTTATGTATTTCTGTGTGTATCAATCTATATCTCCTTTAAGCTGAACGTGAATTCATACAACTCTCCAGGCCTAAACCATTGCTACAGGGATCATTGTAACCTCCTCTCCAGTGCTTCTCTGTAAACTCTCACTCCAACAGCGAGCAACCTGACTCCTCTCTCTCTCTCTCTCTCTCTCTGCCTGCCTCTCTGTCTACTTGTGATCTCTCTCTGTCAAATAAATAAATAAAATCTTTAAAAAAATTTTTATTTCTAAGATTGATTTATTTGAGAGAGAGAGAGAGAGAGAAAACACAGGGTGGGAGGAGCAGAGGGAGAGGGAGAGACAGTCCTTATCAGGCTCCACGCTTGGTGGACATGGGGCTCGATCTCAGGACCCTGAGACCACAACCTGGGCCGAAACTAAGGGTCAGACGCTCAACCGACTATGACACCCAGATGCCCCATTTGTGTCTGTTCTTTTGCTAATGCCATGTCACTTGGTTACTGTCAACTGTTATCACGTTCTTCTGAGTACAAATGTCCCAAAACAGATCTGAGAGGAGGGGAGGGAGAACTCAAAGGTGGCCCCAGGTGCCTGAGAGAAGGAGAGGCGGGAGGATGCTGGGGTGGAGGGACTGGGCTGTGCCTCTGCTGGGGTGGGCCGGATGCTGAGCCAGCCCCTGAAGGGCTCAGGCTCCCCCTGGTGACAGAGGGACAGGATCCTCTGTCCTCACTGAGAACAGAACCTGTGTGGATTCCCAGAACTGGCAGTCCTTTCCTCACTACCCCCTTCTGATTCATCCCATACCTGGGGGAGTCTGGACTCCCAGAAGATTCTTCTGGAGGTCAAGGTCTTGGCCAGCTCAGAGATCAGTCAGACTCAACATTTCTTTCATTGTCAGCTTCTCTCCCCTCATAAGGGGCTGTTTTTTGGGTTACAAGTGACAGACACCCAACCCAAACCAGCTTGCAGAACGGGAATTTACTGACCCACCTAACCGAGAAGGGGAAACACAGCTACGATTTCAGGCCAATGGCATCAGGGACTCTAGTCGGTGTCTCTCCGCCTCTCCCTTGTGTTGGTGTTGTTCTCAGGCCGCCTCACTAATGGCCCCCAGCAGCTCGAGCCCTGTGTCCCCCCCAGCCTCGCAGCCCCAGTGGAAAGAGAGTGCTTTGCTCATCCAGAGCTGCATCATGAATCAATCCCAAATTGAGTGGCTTGAGACACAAACCATTTCAC